AGTTGTTGAACCTGTCATGAGGTGCAGGAGACCCTGAATTGCAGCACTGAAATAATTTGTCATGTGCACCGCTTGCCAAGAAGACATCTCATACAGAGTTCAAGTCAGTGTTTCTGTCTAATATTTGTTTCTTGAATGTGGTGTACCATACACCATGACGAGTTGTGGAAGAAGTGTTGTTAATGTGCTTTAACAGGTCTGGTAATGGGACTTGTGTCCTGTGTTTTCCTTCCCAGATCATATATGGTTATATAGTTCACTGGACAAACTTTATTTTGCAGATTGGCTGTCCTGTTGAATTGAAACATGCAAAATGTAGCAGAAAAGATTTTGTGCCTTACTTTTTGAACTTTTTGAGGGAGCAGACTTCAAGGTGAGTGCATTTGCTGAAGTAAGTTGCCACCTTTACAGCAGCAATTTATTTAAACTAGTTGACTCCACAACACTCAAAATAGTTTTGGGCATGACAATAAGGGGGAAAATCTTTGTACTGTTCTTATGGAAGACCATATTTTCTTTGCATACCTCAGGGTTATAAATTAGGATAAGTTATTCAAAACCCCATGGCAGTTTATTAAAAATGCTGCTAATATAATATTCTGATCACATATTATTCGATAATTTCCCGTAAAATCAGTCAGTAATGAGATATTTAACATTGCTTTTGCTTGAGTAATCTTTCAATGCTAGTTTAAATTTCTGTTTTTGCATTTCTTATGTATCTCTCAAGTGTAAACCAGTAAAAATCATCCTAGTTTTTAATTTGATGTTGAACTCTTTAAAGTTATATAGGAACATTATGCTGTGAATTTAACTAAATGTTGTTAAGTGTCCATCTCCACACAACAAGGAAATTAGTACTGAAATTTCTTATGTATCTTTACATTTATTTTTTCTAGGCTCATGTTTTAGACATAATTGTCCATCTTTGGACCTCTGGCTGTCCTCAAAAAGTACTCTGTTATGTGAATAAAAATATGTGTTCAAATTATTTTTAAACAGTAGATACGAGGTGTATAAAACTACACTTGCTATTGTATTTTGTGAAGACTATTACTGTCTAAGTAAATATAATATGTTAAAGAAGATTTTGTTTAAATTAAATTATATAACTTTTGTTTTTGCAACTCAATTTAGTTTCATGTTGAGGCTGAATGTGCATTCTATGTTATGTGTAGAATCAGCACATGCTATCACTTCTTGTTGCAGTAATGGATATTTAATTAAGTTAAAGTCTTGAAGTACTATTGTAGAGAAAGTATTGTTTTGTACATCCTATATATCTGCTATTTAAAAACTATTTTTAACACGTTTTTATTCATATGATAGAATATTTTGTGAGAAGAGCCAGATGCCCAAAGTTCAAAATATGTACGTAGAAAAAATCAAAGATGAAGGCATACAGTAAATGAATAGATGAATTTATTTAACAGCGTACAGCTAAACCATTGTTCACAGCAACAGTTACTTCCATATGAAAACTGTATTAGCAAAGAATATCTCCTGATATCAAGTAAATATTTTGTCATACAGAGTGACAGTATTATAAATAATATATGCAGGCTGCACAGAAAACCTAGAGGGCTACATGCAGCCTGTAGGCTGTGGGTTGAGAACCCCTGCATTAGTATTATATAAATAGATCTTTAAATATGTTTATGATATGTTAAATTATTAGTTTGAAGCTCCTATCGAAGTATGGCACTCATATTTATGAAATGCAAATTTAACATTGAACTGTAAGATTCATATTCTGTGTTTCTATAATAAAATCCTGCCAGTTTCTTTTTATTTTGAATGTGATATATTTTCATAATTCTTTATCATTTGAGATTAAATACATTAAAAAAATTAAAATTCCATGTACTTTAGAAGACCTTATTTCTTTGTAATATGCTACAGGAACTTTGTGTGCAAATGTCAGCTGTGTAGGAAAAACCTAACCCTGATATAGTTAATGTCACTTAGATTGTAAGTTGCATGACCAGTTTTAGTTACGAGTAATGATCAGAAACTAAATGATCCAGCAGAGGATTTCTTCAAAGTTTGTTTGTTTAGACAGTATTAAACTGAGAGGTTGTCCTGATTGTTGTTTACTTAATTTAAAGTTTTATAATATCAGCACCCCTGAACGTGATTGAATATATACTCAGGAAATAATTTCTTTATGACGGTCCTGTCTCTGCTTTGGTAGACCCTATGTTTGTCATAAATATTCTGCTGAAAGTATCAAATATGTCCTGTTTTTTTGGATGATGGTATTCTGGCTTGTGATGCCATATAGGTGGTTACCATCATTTTGGAGGAACATGTCTTTGCCTTCAGCAAGATGCAGGCAATTTGTTCTTCTGAATTGTTAGTATCCACTTACAAGACTGCATGGTTTCACAGTCCAGAAGACAACGATCTACAGAAATGGAAATCTCAAACTTTATTTCCTGTTTGATTTCTTGGTGTTGCAGGATCTTGCAATTGAGCAGTTTTCCTACCCCTAGTAAGGTGCACAGAACGTTGCAAAAGAGAAGAAATAATGTGAAGAGCCGCCAGGCGTTATTTCCTCCAAATCAGCACGAGAGTGCTGATACTAACATGGGGGTAAAGTCCCTTGAAATTGCAGATGTTTTATATTCAGGAATTGAGGAGGGAGGTAACAGGAAAATTGCAGATGTGGTGAAGAGGAAGACTGTGGCAGTTCCATCTGGTTTTAACTTCGGGAAGCCACTTGCACAAAGCAGTCCTGTGCAGGAACACAAACATAATAACTCTGCCACCTTGCAAAGAAGTTTCAGTTTACAGGATTTTATTGTGAAGGGAACAAGGTCTGGTAAAAAGAAGAGCACTTGTGCACAGGAGCAAATGCTGCCGTCTTCTGATGGCAACGAACGCAGATCACACAAGAGAATCAATCCAACTCGATTGAGTGCTGCAAAATCTAATGGTTTGTATTGAATGCAGTAGTATAGCAGTTATAACTGAGCATACCATTAGCTTTTGAAGGATTCTGTTCTTTGGATTTAGTATTTATCATTGATGAATTACTTGTGTCTACTATCGTGTGGAACATTCGTGCAGTGAGATATTTTTTAAGCATTCACTAATCATTAAAACCTCTCACTCAGAAGGATCAGGTATTCGTCCAGTCACATCACCGTGTGGTGGTAGAACTGTTACCTGAAGCAATAGATTTGAAATATAAACACATTATTTAAAGTAAAACTTAAATCCAGTTACAGTTTCAAAAGTTTTGTATTTCATTAAAGACTCTCTCACAACATGCTGTGTCAGGTGGCTGAACGGTGATTAAACCATATCTTCTGCCAGTGTTTCGAGAACAATCTCTGTTTTCATCCTCAGGGCTGCTGGGTGACTAGTCCGTTTCTTTGTTTCATGCTAGCTGGTGGGAACTGGCGGTGGACAGCAGGTAGTAATGATGTTGCTGGTAGCCTGTCCGTTGCTTTTTTTCACGCTGGCCAATGGGAACTGGCTTGCACTAGCTGCCTTGGCCTTCTGGGCAGACAGCAGTTTTGTCACGGTACCAGGCCCGGCTCAGAGTGAAACCGTCATCTCTGTTGAAGTTGTTAGTTGTTCGGGCAGATATCAAAGGCTTCTTTTATGAGCCAATCCATATATCTAGATGCCTTGTCCAACACGGATGTCCTATGGAATTCGATGTGTTGCCCTTTATTTATGCTATATTCCGCTACTGTGGACTTTTCAGGATATTTAAGTGTGTGCCTCATATGCTCTTTGCACCTGGTTTCAATGGATTTCCCTGTCTGCACCACATACACCTTTCTGCACTCGCAGGAAATCCAGTATACACCTGGGACCTTCAGACTTAGGTCATCCTTCATAGGCATGAGCATATGTCTAATTTTCCTTATAGGAATGTGGATGGTCCTAATGTTTCATTCAATTTCCTTCCAGTGGACATAGCATTTTGATTTGGGTTTCTTGAATAATTCTTTGTGGAACTGTAAGTAAAGTAAAGTAAAGCGTCCCACTAACGCCATGTAGGCGCATTGGGGGAGTGGAGGTATAGTTCCTACTCTTCCTTGACCTCAGCACTACATGGGGTGAGTGGTCAGCATCACGCCCCGGCTGGCATTACCCCCGGGAAAGGACCCCGGTACCCATTGTAAAATAGGCTGGGTGGGCCCCAGAGCCGGTCTGGACGCAGAGGCTAGAGGAAAAATCCTCTGCCCCCGTCAGGGATAAAACCCCGGTCGTCCAGCCCGTAGCTAGTCACTATACCGACTGAGCTATCCCGGCTCATTTTTGTGGAACTGTAGCATCCTGAAATACATGCTGGGATCCTCTTCTTTTATTATAGGACCACTAGTCGCATAGGAATCATATGTGAACATTTATTATTCCACATTTTGGTACAGGAAATAACACTGCCTAGTGAGTGACTGCTTATTACATAAGTCAAGTAATGTCACAGGAGTTAAAGTAACATGTAACTTGGCATCTAGGATTAAGCCACCCCATAATGCATAAGCAAACTTTACAGGAGCTCTTTTGCAGAGCACCAGTATGAAGTGCACTGTGATATTATTGCTTCAGACAGGAGTACTGGTGATGAAGTAGATAGAATGTCCTAAACGAATATTCCTTCACGTTACCAAAGTCCATTGATAGGGCTCTTCAGAAGTTGTTGTTGTTGTTGTTTTTACAGTGAATCGTGATGGGCTGTAAGTTGTAATGTTGCTGATATGTGTTGCAGGTGATGATGTATGTTTTGGATTGACATTGAGATCATGTGAACCCAGTGCCCCATTTTGTGAACAGCCAGTAGAAACAAGCAACAGTAAGAACTTTGAGGAGGAAAGGACACTGTTGCGAAAAGAACGCCTTAGGCAAAGGTGTGACAAGAGGCATGTGACTGTGTCTCCTACAAAAGTGATTGTTTCCTATATTAATGAATCTATTGTGGCAGAGCCTGGCCTAGTGAGTTTCTTAGAACAGCTGCAAGTGTTAGCAGATGTGTATTCTCGCTTGATAAGTTCAAATTTAGTTTTAAACATTATGGCGGAATTGTGCTTTGTGGTGAGCTTGCTCGTGGTTCACGTCCCCGCTGGATGCAGTACGGATGAGATGCGTTTTTCCCCGACAGAATGCAGTGGGAATGCTGTTCATCATCTAGATCGTGGAGTATGGAATATGAAGAAATATGCTTTCTTTAATACAGTGCACAACTGTGTGTATTTTGCCATATCAGTGTTGAACCAACAGCGACAGCTTCTAGAGTGCTTTGACAAGATTACGTTAAAAATGCTTGCTGATAATAGATATTTTTCAACATTTATGCCAGATTTATGTGATTTTGTCAATGGACTTCTCACTTCTGACATGGCAAAGGCTAGAAGATTTACATCTTTGGTTGCAGCAGTCCAGAGCAATGTGTCTTTCCAGTCAGACACTGACAATCGTCACAACTTTCCAACAGACCAGGCATTTCATGTTTTTCGCAAGCAACGTGATGGTTTCTACGAAATTCTTCGCACGTGGGAGGCGGACCACATGTTGCCCGATTGGTCATTTGCCGTTACACTGGGACCACGTACGAGGACACTGCTTAGCCTACACAGTGAGCCTGCCAACTTTGTACACTTTGCACGTCTGTTTCGTTCCCAACTGCTTGGAACCTGCAGTGGTTACTCCAGTTCTAGTGTAAGTATTTCAGTTTGTACAGTTTAAAAATTCAAATAGATATAATTTTTTTACCTGCAATTTTCCTTTTCACCCTCCTCTTTCATCATTTCTTAAGTTGTGTCTATATAATATGAGTAATCTTGAATTATGTAACATTACACCTACCCTACCTATGTTTCATTCATCCTTGCTGCTTCACATCTTTTCTCACATGCTTCATTATATCTTTGCTCTCCCATTGGTCTGTTTCTTCCTTATTTCTGTTTGTAGGACTGTGTCAAAATTCTGTGGCTTTTTGTTTCTCGTAATTAGATGGGTTTTCAACATATTCTCTTGAATATATGGCTTTTACCTTTTACCGTATCCCTTCATTTTTATGGTTTTTGTATGTTAGTACACATAACTGTCCCCAGGTGACAGATGAAAAACTTTGCGAGTGTTGGTGGGAAGTATAAATATTTTATTGCTGAACATTTGCAGTTCAAAGAACTGAAATTTAAATAAAAGATAAATCAGTAATACACCGGAAATCTTAAACAGTTATCCACATTATCCAACTTTGTTTAAAATTAATTTGAAATTTTTTAGTGTTTCTCTGTGGTGAAAACGTTATTTGTTGTCTTTTAGTTTGTGATGTCATCAGCTTTAAAGTAGGTGACATATTCCAACAAAACATTGGTATTGACATACCAGACTACACATCACAATCCAGAGGACCAAAATATAAAAGTTATGAAAATTTGTTCAGTCTGGGTGGTTGCATACAGACAAATTAAAACTTATTCACACTTTAAATTGAATCATGATTGCTTTGTGATTATATGTTCACAGCCATTGATTGTCACTCACTCCAGCTTTTAAGGAAAAACATTAACGAAGGGGGGGGGGAACAAAAAAACCCCAGCAAGGTTCATGCTAGGGACACAAAGGTTTGGAAGTACAGTAAAATTTTTCCTTCTTTGCTCTTTACTTCTTCACCAGCAGCCTTGTGTAGCTTTTGTGATTTGCATTTAGGAAGGACCTAGTTTGAGTACCAGTCAAGGACAAAGATGAGATATTCTTGACATCATCATTCCTTGAAGGTGAATATGCTAATACCTGAAAATAGGCAGTGAGTGCTTCATACAATTTCCGCCAGTTATTAGGCTCTGTGTGCTACAGAACTGTCTTTGATTGAAGAAAGAGGATTCTAATTTCATTCATTCATACTTTTGTTTTTCATGGATGGATCAGAAACCAGCGAGTGTAGGTCAGAAACATTAATTTTTTTGGTTTGTGGAGTGTAACGTGTTTCTTATGTTACTAAAGCTATTTATGTTGATAAAAATTAAGTTATTAAACAATAGCAAAAACAAACAACAACACTTTTCATGCTTTACCTTGGTTGTTAATTTTATATTGCTAAATTAATATCTTGTCACAAGAGTGCAGCACAAGATCAACAAAAGAAACAGACTGAGATCGTGATTAGGAGATTTATCAAATGGATATTTTCATATATAGAATTTGCTATCGGTTTTGTTTCAATAGATTTAATTAACCAAGCTAATTTCATGTGTCTATCAAATTAGTGAGAATGTTTGTAATATTTGTATTTTAACTGATTTGTGTGTAGGCTTTCTTGAAGTCCATAAATAGTTGTTGTACTATCCCATTGTGCTTCCACTTTTTCTCCAATGTTTGTTGAATGCAGAATGCCTGATTTGTTGTTGATCGGCTGTGTTGAAATCCACACTAATGACTGCAGTAATTTAATGTATGTATGGAGTTTGCTTTGAGAAAAGAATGTAGGATATTGAATTTGTTTGAGGTTCCATATATTTAATTTTATGAAGATTAATCATTTTTATTTTTGCTGTAGAATGTTAGGAATGATATTGTTGTGAAGGAATTTAACCTATTTTATGTATCCCGTACAAGATTGATATTAGCAAAATTACATGTTTAATGACTGTATGATGAAGTAGTTTTTTAATTTTCCCTCTGAAAGATGTATATCAGCAATAAATGAACATTAAAGTCATCAAAGAGCATAAAACAGAAGAGAGCACATTTAAAGTATTTGTACTCCAAATTAAAGTAAGGTACATCTTTCAAATCTGTAGTTTATTAGACTTACTTGATATGTGCAAAAATTGCACTCTAATAAATGCATCGTGACCTTCCTGAAGGTTAACAGATTATACTGGTACTAGGGTCTCATGAGGACAAGAAAAAACAGGAAAGTTGTATCATTTTAAAAGGAGATTGCTGTGCATGTATCCTGCCAGTAGTACTGTAATTAAAATGATGACATTTTCCCTTGAAATAAACATTTACTTTTGTGTCCTAGAATGTATTTAGCTGGGGCAGTTGTCAGTACAGCGTCTGACAACAGATAGAATGACAAGGGTTTGGTCCCTGGCAGGGGATTTTTCTTCCAGCCTCTGGGTGCCAGGAGTCATTTCCTCAGAAGGTAAAGTGTGACCAGGTTGTGATGCTGACCACTCACCCCCATCTAGTGCCGAGGCCAAGAATGAATAGGACCTATACCTCCTCTCTTGCAAGCACCTCCATGGCATGTAGCAGATCAGCTTCACTTTACATTATTGTGGAATGTATGTGCTGCAGGAACTGGCAGCGTTCAGTGACGGTGGCCTTGACATCTTGAAGGACGTGAACCCAGAGAAGCTTAGTCGCCTGCATGAGAGGCTCATAACTCCATTCCAGTGTGGGGGGCCATGTCCACAGCCATCATTCCCTGGACAGCAGGAGTTCTATCATGACTTCATCCTGCACTCCTCACATCCTGCTTTTCTGCAGCACCTGGGTGACAGCCTTGCCTCTGAGATACTGACATTGAATGAGACCAGTTTCATGGCTTCAGATTTGGAGGACACAGGTAGTGTGGTACTGAATAGGAAAGAAGTTGTTGTTGTTTCTTGGCTCTACAACCCTGTTGTGGGTTTTTGCCACCTCCTTTTTCAGAGGTTTCTTGGTCTTGAAGTGTGCATTTATGAATAGTGAGTGACCAGCCCACTGACTGCACAATTTGTACTCAATCCTGACTTGACTGCCAGAGCCATCTAGCAGTTAATCAGGAGACTTGGATGAGAAATGGCCACTGAATTTTTGCTTACAAAACATCTCGTATCATGCTCGTAAGGTTCTTTAACATGCCGTAAATCTATGATGTGGGTTTGTCGGCTTTGTTTCCCCTCCAAAGGAAGTTGTGCTATGGATTTCTATCACCCTTAAAAATCCATCGACCTCAGCCAGGAGTGAACCCGTTAACCTTGGGTCCAGTGGCGAGCACGCGAACCACTAGTTCACCGAGGGCGACAGAGGAAAGATGTATAAGTACAGTTAAGATTTTATCAGACTTCTCAGAATTGGCTTGTGTGGAAAATTGTTTATGTACATGGTATAGCTATTTATCTTGTTTAATTTTCAAGCTACATTATTAGAACTGATTGACTACTGGTATTAAATGCTCTGAGTGGGCAGACAGAGTAAATTGTATCATAAGAATAAACTATATTTATTATTATGATGATGGGTTTTGGTGCTGTGTAGACTTGATTGTAGATACTAGCATTTTGGAGAAACATACCATCTCCACTTTCAGGGCAAAACCATGCAGATGACATCTTTCATTATAAGTATGAAGGTTTCTGATGATGGTATGTTGCAATTAGCTGAACTCTTTTACTTTGGTCATTGTCTGTAATCTTGATTATTTGTTAAAAAAAAACAGTGTTTTACAAACTGGATCTGTGTGCTAAAAAACACAGTGTTTTACAAACTGGATCTGTGTGTTATCCTCATCACCATTAAACCTCAAGTCTTGCATACGTTTGTCAAATTTTTGTAGCTAGAAAATCAAAATGAGTATAACATTATTATGAATAAAATATTTACCTGAATATAAAATTTAAATTAACTTGTCTTTGCATAAGAAGTTTAGTCTACATTTGTTTCATATGTTTTTAGTGTTTATTCTATGAAATATGGAAACCAATGCGAAAATTTTTGAAATAACTATACTCTAATTTAGTACTCTTTATCTGCTTGTGTAAGTAAAGTTTTCTGTAGGTAATGTGAGAGATCTCATGGTAACAGATGCAAGTTCTGTTGTGTTAAATGATAAAACCTTGGTCTCTATTTCCAAGAAGAGAAACAAATCTTATTGCGAAGATTTCTGTCTTCGGGGTTGTTGCGCCTGATGACTACCGCTGTGAAAACCTCAAATCATACAAATCTTATTTCCATCATTTTGCAACATTTTATTTGCAAGCAATTGGAAGTTGTACAGACACAGTACTGTAAGGACCAAGTTACATTCATGTCCTTGGTGTGGGGTAAAGAGCAAGGTGATGGCACTGCATGTGCACCTCCACCCTTTTTTTAATCATTTCAGAAATAGTACCTTGTTTAAAAAACGCAGGATGCAGCTGACAAACCAAATTCCGAGGAACACAATTCTGTACTCTTGTTTGACGAAGGTTCTTTCATCACAACTTACACAGGAAACCTTACAGAAGTAATATGGCATCTGTTCATTGAGATCTACTGTTTGACATTCTTAGTTATTGGTGTTTCTCTGTTCAACAATTTCATTCCAATTTTTATGAAACCAGACATTTACATTTGTAAGTAATATTGCAGACTGCCAGCTATAAGTAGCTTGGAGAGAAAAATTGCAAGAATACTTCATGTAAAGAGTTACTTATATTAGGAATAGCTTATGGTGAAGGTGCCAGAAAAATGACCTAATTTTGTACAGATTGTTCCATAAATGTAACATCAACTACTTGACATGTCAATGAACTTTCTCTCTGTAATGAAGTTCTTGTTGTAAGTTGTAAGTTGTTTGCAGACACATATGTTGATGATGCCACTCGCAGAAGTTACCTGACATGTGTGTCTGCACTTCGCTTACTTGGCAAGTTCCTTGGTTTGGTCACATTTCTACCATACAAGTCAAGAGTAAAAGTTCTTCCAGAGGACATGGTGTCATCGCAGTCTGCTTTACGTGCCAAGGTGAGATTGTTGGAACATTCGATAGTGTGATGGATGCGACCCAGTAGTTTGCCATTAATCTCAGAACTATTGAACTCATGCATCAAAGAGAGAATCTCACAAGTGTTTGCTTGCTCACCTTCTGGGTGTGTTTAGCATTTGCTTGTTCATGTATTTTTCTTGAAAATTATAATGGTCACAGAAGTTGAACAGGTTGGCAACAGTCAACAGTCTGAAAGTGTTTTCCTATCTCCTGTCTGATTCATTTACAAATATCATAACAAAAATGATATATAAACACTTACGTAAACCAGCTACACAATTCTGATACTTTCCGAGTTGCTCTCGACAGTGTGTGGCACGTGAACTTGTGGAATGGTGATAACAATAACCATGGCCCAGAGACTGGCTATCCTGACGGGTTTTTTTTGTGGTTTTCCTCAGTCTCATCATTGATACTTTCCGAGTTGCTCTTGACAGTGCGTGGCACGTGAACTTGTGGAATGGTGATAACAATAACCATGGCCCAGAGACTGGCTATCCTGACGGGTTTTTTTGTGGTTTTCCTCAGTCTCATCAGGATACTACCTTAAATTAGGCCATGATCGCAACCTTCCGCCTAATTTCCAATTTTTTTCACTATCATCTTCTCATTTGATGCTGTGTAGCCTGAGATACAGAAAAAGTGTCATTAAATAAAGTATAAATAAATAAAATAACAGCATTAATTTGTATGATGTTTAGAACTTTTGTATTGTAGTAGACATTTGAAAAATGTGCCCCTTTTTTCAATATAATGTCTTAAGAAACACAAAAATATTATGGTACGATTGATGATCATGGTAACGTCCTTGCATCATGTCATAAACACATTTAGAAGTAATATAACTTGAATGTGATCAAAATTCAATGTGCAGGTGTTATCCTGACGTCTTAGCATGTTACAACAAAAAACCCCTGTGTGCTTGCATTACTAGTTGTCTGTAAGTTTTGCCGATGAATTTATGGTGATAATGGCAGTCATACTTAGGTAGTGTTTCTGTCTTGTTTATACTTGTTTATGTTACATAATTTTGCTATGGGCTTTTTGGTCAGGGCATTGCAGTAACACACTATATGGCTTGTTTCTTTCTGTACCTGACTTTCAAGTGTCTGTTGCAAGTAAGGATTGTGTCTGATTGCAGTTATGTCCTCAGTTGGATGTCCTGGCATGCATAAATGAGGCCGTGCAGGCTCACAAGCTTGTCCTCACGACACCTTGGGTTGTGAAGTATTTGTCTATGATGGATCCAGTTTCTGCACACCTCCCTTACTATAGGGCTGTGTTTGAGCGGCTGTTTCATCTATATCAAGGTGTCCAGTTGCCAGCCAGACCATCATTGCTCATCAGGCTGCTGCTAGGCTGGCTGTTTGAATCTTCACACTTTCTGGAAGAACTGTTTTACGCTTGGAAACAAGATGTGCCTATCGACAGAATAGTAGAATCAGGTATATGTTATACTGCATGTTTCAAAAGTAGCTTTACAACTTGAGGGCGAGATATTGGTGAACTGATAGGAGAAACATATAATTTCAGAACATAGAAATGTAGTCAAACACTTCAAGTTTTATGTCCATCAGATGTTTATGGTTCAATGTGATTTCCATTTGTTATGCGGCAGACGTTCCATCTGTAGTCAATATCTTGCCACACACAGTGTAGCATCTCCGGTGTCACTTCAGCAACTGCGGCGGTACTTCGAGTTTGGAGTTTGGCCACATTTGCAGGTAAGGGTGCCACGTACACTCAGTCTTTAACAAATCCCCACAAGAAAAAATCTAAAGGTGTTCGATCCAGGGAACGAGGTGGCGATGCTATTGGTGCGACCCGACATCCACCGACCTGGGATACGGTTGTTGAGGTACTCGCGTACTTCTCCGAGGTAATGAGGGGGTGCACCATGTTGCTGGAAGTGAATGCGTCCTTCCTGGTCATCTTAGTCAAGTTGAGGAATGAGGAACTAGAGGAACTATGCAGCCATCTTCATACTCAGCACTGTGAGAACCACAAATCCAATGAGACAAGTAGAGCTTATAAGCATGTACAAACACATTAATAGTTCAGTGCAGAAATAACCTTCATGACAGTTTCCAACAGGTCACTCTTTCATATTTTATGTATTTTTCCCATCTGAGCTGGCAATGATGGCATTAATGTGTTGCAGCTTCAGTACTCCGTTTCAACTGAGGATGTAACCGTCTTGATATCGCCACATCGCCATGGGAAGACTGGATGGGTGGGGAGTCCAGCTGATGTCCCTGAAGCAAGAAATACCTTAGTATGGAACTGACATTAGGTTGGCCATGCATAAAAAACACTTTTAAAAATTAATTTTTCAGCATAGGCTGTACTCTTTACTTCAGACTTCTACTGTGTGTGGCATAAGACGTGCATATTTTAAAACCTTGCATACTGTGCAGTGTTGACTATCTGAAATATGTAAAATAATGCATACAAACAAAACTGTTTACACTTTGAAAAATTAAATTGTATGCTTTAATAGACAGACTAATGAAATAATGTTTTTGCCACTGGTACTAAATGTTTTTCAAAGTTTTAAACAGTTTGTTTTTATGCATAATTTTATACATTTTAGATAAATATGCATATTTTACCTTAAAAATGGTATTTCAGGGATTCTAAATAGATTTTCTGAGTTTATTCTTGTCATGACTATCTGAAATTGTTAGGTTATTTAGAATGTTACATAATAATGCACTCTGAGGTTTATACAGAATGAAAGTAAGTTTGTTGGATCTGTTTTAAAATGTTTTTCAAGTGACCAAGGAATTTGGACTTATGTCAGAAAGCTCCTTGAAGGGGTAGTTTGTAAAATATTTACCAGAAAATTTTTATTTAAACAGAAAGCCATTATTATATATAAAAGTAAAGTAAAGCTGTCCCATTATATGCCATGTAGGCACTTGGGGGAGAGTAGGTGTAGCTCACACTCATTCTTGCAACAACCCAGAAGACAGCCATCTTGAGACTCACTGCCATGAAAATCTCAAATCTTACTTAGTTGTCTGTCAGCTTGCAGTCTCTCAGGTGTAGTAAACTCTATAGCTTTTAAAACCTGATAATGCATTCTTTTCTTCACTTTTCCGTATGAATTAGAGGGATATGATTTTTATTTCCGTGAGTTTCTGCCATACTTTGGGGTTAGAATATGTATTATGGGCTAATTATACTTTTAGTATGTACTTCAGAAACATTGTGATTTCTTACTGACATTAAGAAAAGTGATATTTAAATTATAATAGTAGATTTCACAAAAATTAGTTGTCTGTCAAAAGATGGCTGTCTTCTGGGGGTTGTTGTGCCATGCAGTCCAGTAGAAGTTTACCGACGTTTCAGAGGTCCTTGCTGCCTCCATCATCAGGGCGATGATGACAGGCAGCATGACCTCTGAAGCATCAGTAGACTTCTACCAGGCCACACTGTGCAACAACCCAGAAGACAGC